CACACACACACACACACACACACACACACACACACACACACACACACACACACACACACACACAGAGAGGAAATAATCCAGGTATTGTAAAATCATGACTAACGCTACAGACGGCGCTGCCAGTGGGGCAGCATTCGCTCTGTTTACATAATGCGTCATCTCAGTCGTCGCCTCGCCGCTCTGCATGCTCACTTAGTCTCGGTGCGACGCTGATTTCTCTCCCCCACCGCCTGTGATCCATCAACGGCACATCAGAGCCGATGAACAGTTGCTGAATCCAGAGAGGGTACGAGGGGGTTTCTCTCAGGTTGTCTGAACTCTCTCAGGGGTTTTAGTCGGGACATCTGAGGGGATTTTAACAGCGTGAAAAGTCCCATTTTTCATTTGACCTTTTTCACTGCTGATAGAAAAACAAGTAATACTCCAACTGTGAACAACTGGAGATCATGTAGCTTTGAATATTTATTTATATTTGATCAAACTAAAGACCTAAGAAAACATTTCCATTAATCCAACCATCCATTTGTCATGGAGGCAGCGGGTCCAGGTAAGAACCTGGGCACGGAAAGACCGAAACCTCCACCATAACATGTCAATAATGATGTTTCTCAAAAACAAACAAACAAACAAACAAACAAACAAACAAACAAACAAACAAACAAACAAACAAACAAACAAACAAACAAACAAACAAACAAACATCCCCGTTGTTTTTTTTCACAAAGTACATATTCGAGTACTCTACAGTTTTTGAGAATTTGTACTCAAGTAACATTTTTACTGAAAACTTTAATTTTACTACAATACAAATAAAACACATTTTACTCCACTAAATTTCTCTAAAGGCTTTCATTACTCGTTACATTTTTTTGTCTGTGTAATTTCCACCTATTTTGTTCCTCCGATTTACTGTAAATTTACAGACTGCTAGAATAATATTTTTTCCTCATACTAGTGTTGCCTTGCAGATACACCAGGTATACTAGACATGTTTCAGCACTATTGCAGGTCTTTGTTAAGATCCTGATTAGTCCGGATTTTAACATAGACTCATTTAAGACCAAAGTTAGACCATGTTAGACTATTATTCCCTTTGTTCTATTAATAGATTATTTCTACCAAATAAACCTGGTTAAATTGTTTCTTTGTTAAAGTGATTCTACTTTACTGTAACAAATATCACTTTCAATTCAACAAACTAATACAAAAGTTACAAATACATACTGAAAAGCTCAGGTTAGATTTAGAGCTCCTTAATACTAGACTCTACCAAAAACCGTTCCAAGCCTTGACCTTGAATTTAAGACTGAATGAGCTGACAGTTCTTGCAAAAAGGGTATGAAAAGGAAGATAAAGTGGTGCAGGGGTTAGGTGTTCACCTTACAACCAGACCGTTGCTGGTTCAAATCCCATGAGTGCATACTGTTGTGTCCCTTGGCAAGACCCTTAATCTAACTTCCCCATCTATACAAGTTAGTTTGTGGTGGTCTGGAGGGGCCGTAGACGCAGAATGGCAGTAACACTTCCACCATCGAGTTAACAAGGAGTGAATGAATAATGTATAAAACTATAAAACGTCTTTGAGAGTCTAGAAAAGCTCTACATAAGACTAAAGCATCATTATTATTAGACATCTGGAGTTACTGATCTTTAATACAGCAGAAAAAAAATCCCAATTACTCTCAACTACACTCAAATCAAATGCATTGTTAAAAAATGAATGATTTTAAGCACTTTCAGTGCTTTAGTATTTTTGAAAGTACATACTGCAGTATTTTAACTTAAGCAATAATATGACAGAGCTACTTTTACTTTTATTGGAGTAATATTTGACCAGTACTTTGAATCTAGTAAAGAAACTGAGAATCTTGTCCAGCACTGTATCGTCCCGCAGCTACAGAACGATTTAAGGTTGAGTGTGACCTCTCATTGGGCTTGCCCATGCAATGGATAAACCATTCCTCTACACTCCTAAACTGGTCTCTTTATTTATTTCTTTATTCTTAATCCACCACTTTGAATGTGGCTCGAACCGTAGCATGTACCCCCACAACAATTACATCAAAATTACTGTCCTGGACTGGAGAAATGTGCTATCTAAGAAGATTAACATATGGAATCTGGATTAAAGTAGCTTGGATTAGTTGAATCAGCCTCATCTAAAATTAGGTTTTAAAGACGAGATGTGAATCTTAAAATATGTGCAACTGAGTGGGATATTCACAGATGGGTCTTCTTGTTCAAATAAAGCGTTTTTAGATAGCAAATAATTTCTCTCTCTGATTACTAATTTGCACAGTGATTCTGATTAAAGCAAATCATGTTAGCCCTATAAAATACCACTGGTTGCTCCAAACTGGATATCAATGACCTTTGTTAACCTCTGAAGAGATTTTGAGGGGTTTCTGGCTCTCCTAGGCTCTTTTTAACTGGTTTTTGAAAGTTCTTAGTTGTTTTCGCCCCTCATAGGCCCCTTTTTGCCCGATTTTATGCAGTTCTGAGGGGTTTCTGGTTTTCCTAGACCTTCCTTTGGTTCCAAGTTAGGCACACTTGGGCAAGCCCTTTTTAAATTTCGTCTGAAATTTTCTAGTTTTAACATCTTCTTTCCTTGTCTTCGTTCTGCCAAGGGCTTTACTGTTTTGGATTCGATCACAAATCAATACAGCTTTTATAAAACAAACTCCTGATTTAAATTCAGCTGAGCTGCTGCTCTTGCTTCCTCGAAGATAATCCCGTGAATCCGTTTGTGGCAGAGCCGTTTTACCAACCATAATTCAAACTCAACCTCTGAGTCCACTAAAACCTTGACTCGTTTCTCAACGACTGCAAATTTTCCTGCCTCACACAGAAGGGTAAAAAAAATTTCACTCCTGAGCTTCAACCTGCCACAGAAAATCGTTTCCATATCATTATCCGGTGCATCGAGGTATAAAATAGGTCTGAGAGAGCGAAACTGTGGGAATTCGGGGCCAGCAGAGATACATCCAAACTTTTTATTCATGAATTCAGACAGACTGCCGCTGGACTTTATTACTGCTGTCAGTAAACAGATGTGTGTTTTGTGTGGAGTACCTGTCAGAGGTTGTACTCACGTGGAGAAGGCGTTGTTCTGCTTTTCACAGCGGATTCCTTTGCAGTTGTTTGGTTCTTCTGACGCCTTGGTCTCATAGTAGAAATACAGCTGGTTTAACCCGTTAGCAAACGCCAACAGAACCTACAAACACACACAAAACAAAGAAGTGATTTTGATTTGACAGTTAAAAAGAAAATACCCAAAACAAAGTAGACATGGAAAGTCCTAGAAAGTCTCCCAGAGCACCAAACCCCAGCACAGTCAGGGTTTTGTTTATGGTGTTCTGCTGCTGTGTTTTGGTGCAGAGACTGACCCTACATTCCTCTGGGCCCTTTTAAAACTCAGCTTTGAGCTAAAACCATACAACCCAAACAGTGTTCTGAGTGAAGAACTGATGCCTCGCGGTCTTCGGTTTCACCACAATTGGTTTTAGAGCTTCAGGGCCCCAAACAATCCCCCCGTGGACAGTGTTCTAGGTTAGAGGGTCCCTTGAGGCGTTACTAATGAGTCCTGACTGTAATGAAATAAGCCGACGATGTCCTTCTGCTGCCAATCAAAGACCCTCTAATGCTATCTTGATCATGCTGCGTTCTTTGTGTGGCTGATTAGCTTAGCTTAGCTTAGCTTAGCTTAGCAAGATGAGACCATTGCTTATTCAGCAGTCACTTCCTGGTTAAGTAATATACTTACATGTTCTACATGTACATGATGGTAGGAATGTAGATGAGTTCGACCTACACTGCGCCAGCCAATGATTTTACAACAGACCCCATATTTGAGGAGGAGGCTCCATCTGAAAAGAAGGTGTCTAGACATCAAAACTTCCCTAAAACTCAAAAACTATTCAACATAGGAGCTTCAGATTTTTTGTTTAGCTCTGATGAAGGGCTATCCATCGAGCCCACCAATGAGCCCCTATACAGCCTCCCTCCCAAAACAACAAAATTTTGGGATGCACCTTGCAGCATGAAATTTGGTAGGAATAGAGATGTGGCCGACCTAAACTGCGCCCACCAATGGTTTTATCATAACCCCCATGGCTGAGGAGGGGGCTCCATCTGAAAAGTGGGTGTCTGGACATAGAAAAATTCCTGTACCTCAAAAATTATTCAACACAGTTGCTTCAGATTTTTTATTTATTTTTTTAGCTCTGATGACCAAAGAGGCCCCGAACCTCCTGGACCCCCATCCAAAACAATAAATGTGTTCTGGTGAGTATGTGCGGGGGTCATATATGCTACTGTTATGTGGTACGTAGTTTGTACCCAGATGAGGACTGTTGCAATCTTATATTAACTATTAAGTCTTTTAAAAATAATGTAATGTTTTCCATGCAATAAAAATATCCCTAAAGTTAAAGAATGAAAGCCCTCAGCTGTGGCGTGAGGAGCCTCATTAGCGTCTCACCAGACAGTAAATGAAGAGGAACTTGAGGATGTCCAGCAGCATCCTCCCCAGGGAGATCTGCAGAGGCCCGAGGTGGGAGTTGGCTGTGAAGAGGGAGATGAGCCGGAGTGAGCTGAATATGTTGGCGATGGCGAACAGAGCCTCGGCTATCAGCGTGGGGTGCCACATCTCCCACTCCTCCCTGGGACGAGACGAGTTATACTGGATGAAGGAAGGAAAGGGAAAACAGGTGAGGGAATAACCGGAAACCAATAGAGACGCACCGTCATTGTTTCACACTCCGTCGCACGATGACGGTGCAAAAAGTCATGCAGGTTCTCCAGAGGATTTTTATTGTCGATTAATATTTGAAGGAGGAATGAAAAATGGATGGGTAGGACACGTTGCGCCAGCTGCTGCCTCTTTGTGTGCAGAGCTGTCAGGGCAGGTATGTAAGCTTACAGCTGTGTGTGCTCCTTCTCCATCTGAATGCCTGTAGTTCTGATGCATGTGAGAGTGTCGGCCCGGTGTAGGAGGGCCACCCGCCAACATCGGTGACTCACAGCTGTCGCAGATGGCCCCGCCGTCTGGTATTTGTGTGTGTCATTGCATCATTTTCTTCAAATTAAAAAGTGATATATATATTATTTTATAAGTGGTGCTGCTCTGTGATGAACTTGCGACCTGTTCTTGCAACCAAGCATAGTGCATTACTTCACACTCCTCAACTATTTCAGCTATTTTTTTTTTTACAGTTTTTTCAGTTCCTGCTTCAGAGGAAGCACTTTAGATATTATCCAACTAAGCTGAGATTTTTAAAAACCAAGTTGGTGACTCAAAAATCTAAGAAAAAAAGAGTGATTTTCAGTCGCAGTCTGATTGAAATAAAGGTCTTTGTGACCAAACAAGTAGCAAGCCTGGGTTATAATCTAAAATCTTTAAAAAATGTTTGTTTTTTATGCAACCTTCAAAATGTTAAACTACTAGCTTCCAAACTTTTAAACCTTTAGAATAATAGTGACATAAGTGTTTGACGCCATCATTTAAAGCAAAAAGTAGACCGATGCAAAGGTTTAGAAGTGTGTTCAGTTTTGCCAACTTAGCAGGTTTGGTGCTAGATTTATCGAGTTTTCAGACCCCTCTAACAACTTTTTTTTTTCGCAAAAAGTGACAAATCTAGTGAGTTTTTCCTGGGTTATTGGAAACTTTTGGAGACTCTGGTGACATCACTTTCCTCAGCGAGCAGCGAGTGTTGTTGTGAGGCTCCTCCCCTTTTCCAGCAGCAACCCCTTCTGCAGTCAGAGCAGAGAGGAGCTCCACTGCAGCAAATAATCATGCATGCGCAAAGGTGCCACTGCTCTCACCATGGTTTACAAAGCAAGCTGTAATCACATCTAACAGTCTGTTGATTACATTTGATAACCTCACAAAATGAACATAGGTAATGTGGACATAAGTATTAATTTGCAATTATAAGCATATTTAGAGTTTTTTTTTACCCACTTCTTTTCCTTTAATGTTCTCTTTGAATGTCCAATTATGCAAGTTAGGTGACATCATTTAGCAAATTTTAGGACAGCCAAGGCGAAATCCATATAAATTAAGGACAATCCGTACAACATAACATGTATGTGAGTTTGCAACAGTGAGTTAAGTGAGTCCTAAATATAAAACCCACTGCACACCGAGCTTTCATTTAACATGAGTAAATCACAGCTGACGACAGAGTTACATACACTGTCCTAATGGGACTTTAAAAGTTGTTTTTCTAAATAAGTTGCATTAATGAGTGCAGCAGTGTAAAACTATTGGCAGGTCAGTAAATTATATAACCCGACACGATGAATTCAGGACACAAAGCGGCTCATCGTTCCAAAGCACCGCTGCTCCTCAGACTGCCTTTTGTTGCCAGAAAAACAGCAAAGTTTAAATGAGTTTTATTTTCTTCCACACACTTTCTCTCTGTGAGACCTTCAAACTGCAACAACCTCATCATTTTTAATGATATATATATATATATATTTGCTTTTACCTTGACATAGGCCACTATTTTCAGAGAGATGGTGGCCAAGTAGAGGGAGTTCATGGCAAAGTCCATGAGGTTCCACCAGTCGTGGATGTACTCTGTGAATCCTCCGTCCCACATCTCCTTGATCTCTGCCCAGATGAAGCCTGAAACACACACACACACACACACACACACACACACACACACAC